GAAGGAAGGAAGGAAGGAAGGAAGGAAGGGGGAAGGCAATAAGTTAACCCTCATATATAATCTAAACCCTACAAAGTACTGCAATAAATGTGACCGATGGATGGATGAATGGATGGATGGACGGATGGATTGAAGGAAGGAAGGAAGGAAGGAAGGAAGGAAATAAGTTAACCCTCATATATAATCTAAACCCTACAAACTACTGCAATAAACAGTACATTATCTGGAAGTTCTCTGCTCATTAATATATAAGCTTTCCACTTCAGGATTCAGAAGAAAAAACATTCTAGATCTTTCTTTTCCTGAGTAAAAACTCCCTTGTACATCACCATCTTGTTATTAAGAAAAGCCTTTTGGGAAAGAGAAGAAAAACAAGTCACCTGAATGCAGACATTTTATTTGGTTAGATAAATTTCGGCCTTTCTTGGGCTTACCCAGATATCAGCTTTGGTGGTGATGGGTTTCCCTCCATAAAGGTTGATCATTTCAGGGGCTCTGTATGACAGAGTTGTATACCTGGTAGTAAATGAGTGAAATGAGGAGGAAATATTTAACAACAACAAATATAAATAGTTTATCTATAAAATAATACTAAAAAAAACTTTTAGGTCTAATAATACCATATAGAAACAACACTTGCTACACATGGTGGCACACACCTGTAATCCTAGCACTCAAGATGCTGAGGCAGAACGATCACTACAAGTGGCTAGCATGGGCTACATAGTGAATTCAAGCCCAGCCTGCACTACCTAAGGAGACCCTGCCTCAAAAACAAAAAACTAATTGAAGCTCATTGAAAACACAGGATTTAAACACTACAAAGTATCTACAGGAACTTTTATTTAAAAAATGTAGTAGCATCCTCAATAATATAAAGCTTGATTTTTATTATTAAAACCTTAAATAACAACCATTAGAAATAATTTTACTTAAATTTATGTGAAATAATTCAACCTGACTATAATCACCTTATCAAAATATTTTAATCTATCACAACTAAAATGTCTACATTCCCTAAAACTATACATTTATAAAAATTTGTTCTTACAAATGCTAGTATAATTCCTTACATGCAGTAGTAAATCATGTTTGTAACTTTTTTAAAACCATCTAGTAATGATATCTTTTTAAAAAATCTAGTAATGTGTAGTTATCATAATTCTAATTATATATTACATTTCACAAGTCTGCCCTCTAATACCAACTGCTACCATAAGCTATTTGTAATTAAAGGCACTGTAAATAAAAGTTTATTAATACAAAACCCTCAAATTCATTATGAACAGAATGTTTTAATGAAGCAGTCCTCCATCTCATGGTAGAAACTATCAGAATAGAGATAGACATGAAAAAGATTCATTCACACGTATTTTTTGAAAGTATAGTTTGCTTCAGTTTATTTTTATTATTTGAGATACTCTGTGTTTATAAATATATACATATAATATATATTTTAAGAAGTATCTCAAAACTCAACATGCTATCTTTTTTCCAAACACACTAGTGAAACAGTCTGAATGATACAACTACGACTAAGAGGAAAGATCTAAAACATCAGAATATAAACTGCATAACCAAAGGAGTTCTGTTCACTACTGTATCACAAGCACCAAGAACAGCCAATATTAGTTGGCTCTAAATAAATGCTTGCTAATCAATAAATGGCTAGCTCCTCAACTGAGTCCCAAAGGACAAGAACTCCAAAGTGAGCTCCTACTCATGAAAAAAATTTCCATCACCAGCAAAATTCAACTGAATCTCAACTATACTTCAAAATGAAACTGCAAGAAATAAAATGCCTAGCAAGATAGATACTTGCCGGAATTCTACAGCAGCCACTAAAAATCTCAACCAAGAAAAACAATTTTTAATTATAGGGATATACACATATCCCAAAAAGTCAATTCAATATTTTACTATTCGTGTGTTCTTTAGGACATAGATATTTACTAAGTCAAAAAGTAATTTTATGGAGTCTGACATAATCATGACAGGCTAAGAGTCTGACATAATAATCATGATAGGCCAAGAGTCATGAGAGAAATATGTAATCTAGAAATGCACTATATTATACCAATGGGCAAGAGTAATACTAGCACTACTTGAAGTCTTTATAAATATTGTAGTATAAATGATAGTTTCTAGGGCAGTAATGGCAAGCCTGTTAGAGCTTCAAAGATACAAACAGCCTGCTGTGGCACACATGCCATAGGCTCGCCACCTCTGTTCTAGATCACCTTAAGAATTTTGTGAGCAAGTGATCAAAGGCACTTTAGAAAAGGGAACTACTTAAAAATTCCTATACTAACACATCTTTTTGGCTTCTGTCTCATTTTATTAAGGTGATCTAAGACAAACTCTCATTTTCTAAACTTCATTTCTAACTAGAAAACAGTCAAGTTAAAAAAAAAGATCCTCATAGATACTCTAGCAAGCATAGAAAGTACAGGATTAAGAAAACATAAAGCACACATGATACATTCTTCCAGCAAGCTTCCCATCACAGCATTACAAAGTAAAAGTGAATTGATAACAGTCTTAATATTTGGCTTTTCATATAGTTTTCAATGAATATAAGTCAGTCTTTAATATTAAATAAGAAATACATGAATTCAAGTACCTTAATTTTTTCTTAAAAAGTACATGTGAATTAGTATTAGTAAAAACAAACACATTCACTGAACTCAATAATCACTTAAAATTCTCTATAAATGGTTCAGTTAATCACTACAGCTTACATTACAGGTTTTTTACAAATCTCTTAACAAGGTACATGGAAACTGCATTATAAAACACATTTCCTCCTGTCTATTCAGACATAAACTAACCATCAATTGTGGTACAGAAACTCTCTAAAGAAACTCACAGATGGAGCATCTACAATTTGTATTAACATAGCGGTCACAGACTCAACCAAGATTCCCATAAAACAAGATACAATGAAGATACTTACTTTTTAATTTCTTCTTCTACTACATTAACTCCATCTTTTTGAGGATTAAGAAATTTATTAGTGGCACTGCCAAAGTCACAAAGTACATAATTTCCACTGTCATTTAACAAAATATTTTCTACCTTAAGAAAACAAAATCAATAATTAGTATTTTCACGGTTAAAATTATCTTTTTTAACCATTTTACATTACCATTTTACAGAGTCTATACATTAATATATGTATATGTATTTATAAACACAGGGTATCACAAATAATAAGAATAAACTGAAGCAAAATATACTTTGTTGACTACATCTCTGAGATGAGAAAGTTGCTTCTCCCACTGTAGCAGATGTTCCTCCACTCCTAGTATACTTCAGTTTGTTAGCTGCCCAGGTAATAGTTCTAGTTACAGTTCCTGTTACTTTTGCTTCTTAGAAATGGCTGGTCACTGTGATGCATAGTGTAAGACCCAATCTCCAACTGACAAGCCATTCAGCCTCTGTACTTCCTTGTTTATCCTATATAAGCCCTAGACCACCAGAGATCAGGGCCTGATATTTTCAGAATGATCCCATTTAGTGCCTGTCAATGTAAAATAAATCTGCCTCCAAATCCAAGGTGTACTTCCATTGTTTCTGCTTGCAGTTACACCACCACAGAATAATCTGTGAAGGGGTCAAAAAACCCTGAGTCTTAAAAGCTGCCTTTATGAAACAGGAAGTAGTAGCAACAGAATTAAGCTTCTGTCTTTTTGCAAATCTCAATTTTTTCCTCATACTTCAGCTCACCTATAGACCAGTAAGTAGTTTTAAAAAAAAAAAAAATCTACCTCTAGTAAATTCCTACAGGTTAGTATACCTTATCCAACATGCCTGGGCCAGACGTGACTCAGCTATTGGATTTCTCTTTTAGAATACTTGCATATAAACACATAATGAGATATCTTACAGAAGAACTTAGGTCTAAGAACAAAATTCATTTTTGTTTCATATATTCCTTATGCAGGTAGCCAAATAAATTTTATTCAATAATTTTAGCACACCTATACTTTGACTGCAATCTATCACATATGGCCAAGTGTACAATTTTCCACTTGTGGCATCATGTTAAGCACTAAAAATATTTAGGATTATAGCATATTTCAAATTCTGGATTTTCTGATTAGGGATGTTTATAGTATCATTTTTATTTAAAACGCTGCACTAGCCAGGCATGGTGCTGCACACCTGTAATCCCAGAATTCAGGAGGCTGAGGCAGGAGGACCACTGAGTTAAGAGGCCAGCCTGGGCTACAAAATGATTTCAAGGTCACCTTGAATTGCACAGTGAAACCCTGTCTCAAAAAAAATTTTTAAATAATTTAAAAACCACTATACTGAAATAGAAAACTCTAACTTCATGCCTTTGGAGTTCAGAATTAGAATAAACAAACAAATTATGTTGACAGTTTTTTGAACTCTAGAATGTGATTAAGTACCCCAGTTTGTTACTTACTAGCATGTATAACCATGGATAATTTGTCTAACCACTCTTATAGTTCAGTAGTTTTCTTATCAATAAGATGGGGAAGACAGTATCTAGTGTATGGGATTCTTACGAAAATTAGATGAGTTAAAATATGTAAGTGTTTGGAACAGTGTCTGAAATACAATAAGAACTCAATAAAAGATTTTCAAATTATCTTATTTTAATGAAATAGCTTGGATGAATAATTCATTTCTTTTTATTCTGTCAAAATACTCATTAAAGCTTCTTTATGATCTTCTTTATACATTAGTTTCTTTAAAATTTTCCTTCTATATTTCATTTTAGTCAACTTTTTACAAGATTCATACAAGAAATCTACTTAAACATATTTGCATAAATTTACACATGTAAAAAGAATGAAGCATATAAAATACTAACTATACAAAACTATGCATTTTAATGTCTTTTCTGAATTTTAAATCAAGGAAACATCTAAAAGTATCAACTCTGTATGCAAAAAGTTCATGAGCTATAACAAACAGCACAAAAAAATCCTAGCAAATTATCAGAGGAAATACAAACGCTGCATAATCAAAAGAATTGAGATGAGCTATACTATTTACCCAAATTAGAGGACAGAAGTCTGAAGTCATGCATTTCAATACTGACTTACCTATTACCATTTCTCCTTGGAGAACGTTTTCATGAGTAACAAATCACACATTAAGAGATATCTTCTCTTTTAAGAGCATTTTATAATCACCCTGCATAAGCTTTTGTATCATCAGTAAGATTAATTCATTCATTCATTACGTAGTTAAAGAGACACTGCTATGTACCCAGCACTGATCTAACTGCTTGGATCAGCACTAAACAAGGAAAAAAATAAAATCCTTCCCTTACAGAATTTACATTCTAATAAAGAGGGGCAGACAATAAACGACAAGCATAATACATAAATTATACAACATCTTACCAATGAAAGATAAAACAGATATGCAGTAGGAATGTTAGGTCTGAATTATAAATAATGTGGGCCCAGATAGTAAATACCCTGAAAAGGTGAATCTGAGCAGATTTGAAAGAGGGGGTAGAGTAACCATGGGAATATTTAGTATAAAGCATTTCAAAAGTCAGATATGGTAGCACACTACTGTAATCTCAGCACTCAGAAGGCTGAAGCAGGAGGACTGCTATGAGTTTGACCCCAGCCTGGGCTACACAGTCAGTTCAAGACCAGTGAACTACTTAATGAGATCCTATCTTTAAAAAACAAAACAACAACAAAAAAGCATTTCAAGGAGAGTGGTGTGCTTTTTGTTCCTTCTTTTTGCCATTTTTTTTTTCTTTTGAAATGCTAGGGATCAAATCTAAGGCTTCACACATGTTAAGTAAGTAAGTGTGCTACCAGGAATCCAAACCACCAATCCAGGAAGAGTGATTTTTTTTTTTTTTTTTCTCAAATCTTTGTGTTTGTGGACATCAAAGAAGAAACCTGTTTTTTTGAGATGGTCTCACTATGTAGCTCAGGCCGGCCTTGAACTCGCTTATGTAGCCCAAGGCTAGCCTTGAACTCACAGAGATCATCCTGCCTCAGCCTCCTGAGCACGGGATTACAGGCATGTGCTACCACACCCAGCACAAAACATCTTTCTAAATGATGCATCTAGCAATGACATCACGAACATTCAATTTCCTTTGGGGATTTTCTCCATTGTAATATTTGATACCAAATATAAAGGTTGAGAGCCCACAAGAAGGTAAAATGAAGTGACTGCAAGATTACTGCTATCAAATTATAGTAAATCACAGAAAACTATAGTAAATTATAAATACATGGGAAAAGAGACTTACTTACAGTTTCTTCCAGTACCTCTTCAGAAAACCCTGAGTGCTTAACAAAGAGTACAAGAAAAGGTAGAATGCTACATTGGAAAAGAATAATATGGAAGGACACTCAACATGTTTCACTGACACTCATTTTTGTTCAAATGAAACCTTTTAAAGAAGTTTACTACGCAAAACAGATGCACAGTAAGGCCACCAAATCCACCTACACCATGGTAAAAATCCTAAAGGTCAAACACAATTTCAAATCCATAGCTAGAGCTGAACATGACCTCAGGAAATGCAGGAGAGATAGAAAAACCAGTCTCTGTGCTAGTAATAACACCTAGTTTAAGGCCAAGGATGAAGCTCTGTGACAGAGTACTTGCCTAGCATAGACAGGGCCTGGATTTAATTCCTAGTACCAAAGAGGTAAAACCTACTTTAGCCAAGGGTAGTCCAAGAAGATTTTAATTCCTGTGTCCTCAACAGGGAACACTGTTCACTGTAATTTCAGAGCCCACAGAAGACCACTCTGTTCTGAGTACTTCAAAGCTCTTACCTTCAGGTCCCGGTGAATGATTGGGGTCTTGCACTGATGCAACCTTGCAACAGCCTCACAGGTATCACAGAATATCTGTAGCACTTCTGCTTCTGTAAAACCTGTCTGCAGCTTCTTATTCATCTGATTCACTACCTGCCCAGCTAAACACAGAAATATTTTTAAGAGGATGCATTTTTAATAAATGAAGTTTCCTACCGAGAAAACAAACTTAAAAATGCTTTTAGGGTCTCAGGTAATCGAGAAATTGGCTTTTTCATAATTCTCATGTAAAGGGGCTTCAAGATACACATTTTACATCAGGCTGGCCTTAAACTATGTAGCCCATGGTCAAAGTCACAGCAATCCTCCTGCCTCAGCCTTCAGAGTGCTAGGATTACAGGTGTATGGCACGATAACCAGCTCAATATTGGCTCAAAATCACATTTTTAAACATTTTCAAATACCTGAAATTTCATTTTTTCTTACAATTCATGGCATGTTAGATGTGACACAACAGTTATTCAACACTATGCTATTTATTGCATAAACTGGCACAATGAGTAAGTTTCTGTTTTCATGAAATTTACAGTTTAAATCATACAAGCAAGCATAATCATAACGATATATAATAACAGTAGCAAGAGACCTTAATATAGAAAATCCAAATTAAATTGGTGAAGAAAGGGGAGGAAAAGGTGTCAGATCAGGCTCAACTCCGTCAGATGATTTATATTAGGACTGAAAGATCATTAGAAATTACTAAGGCCGAACTTTGGAAGTATGCTGTGCTCCTGACTGTAGTGTGTACGAACACCTCTGTGTGGCAGTTGGACGACTGTGTAACCTTTTAAAAGCCAGTGCTGGTATGATCCAGGAAAAGAGAAGATGAGGTGAGATGAAACTGATAAAGCAGACAGGGACTGGCCATGTTTTGTATTTTATTTTGAGAGAAGAGCCAAAGGAAATTTCTGATCTGATTTTTTTAAAAGATCTCCTTCATTATGGGGTAGGTAGGAGAGTCAAAGAGTGAAAGTGAAGAGAAGTGATAAAATACTAACAATACCATCTATGTAAGAAGTAACAGGCCAGAGCAGGGCATGGGTTTGCACACCTGTAATCCCAGCATGTAGTAGGCTGTTACAGGGAGGATCACTGTGAGTTCAAGGTCATGCTGAGCTACGTAGTGTGTTCCAGGCCAACCTGAACTACAAAGTGAGACTCTGTCTCAAAAAAAAAAAAACAAAAAACGAAGCAAAAAAGAAAAGAAAAAACAGACCAGAGGAATTTACTAGAATCACATAGCCACACATATGCCACTGACCCTAAGATTATTTACTTTAACTTGAAACTTTAACAAGTTGGATAAATGAATGTTTGCTACTTTATTACATGTAAGAAAGCACACACATACTTGTTCCCTTTATTACTATCTAAAGAACAATCTCTTCTGAAATGTTTTTTCCTTAGAATTTTAAAGCAAAAAGAACACTACATTCAATCTATGAAACCTTGGCTTTCATAAAACTTAGGGATCACTTGCTGAGGTGAACTCATGGCTGAGAAGTAACTGCTCAAGTAGCAAGCAACATCCTCTATTCCCTTGCCTGGTACATTTCAAGTCATGAATGGACAGAGACATAAGGTATAGACATTTCACAAAAGATGATCATAAACATTGGATTTCTGAAACCATGAAAGGGTATACTGGCTATGTAACACATTCTCCTACACTCTGTTCAGTTTTATCCCCACATAGTCAAAACCAATGTACCTTAAAACACACACACATATGTACACAAGCGCTCATACTCTCAAAATATATATAACACATAAATAATACATCTATAAGAAATATATATACATATGTAGTAGTTCCCTTACAAAAGTAAATTGCTGTTAAATAATTTTATGTAATTGGCTTTTATAAAGGAAAGTACGGGGAAAGCCTTTATTCTCCCACTCTCTCCCTCTACAAATCAATCCTCCCTATGAGGGAAAAAGAAACTCATCTAACTGATTCATCTGAGAAAAGGAACCGAGCATACTCCAGATTCCTTTCCTTAAGACATAACTGCCCATTCAGAGGATATATTCTGATATATACAGCAAACTTAGCTGGTTGCAGAAAACTTTTAGCATAACAGAGAAACCACAATAATAGGAAAAAAAATTAGAAAAAAAAATGTAAGGAAAAGAAAAAAAATATTTTAAGAACTAAAATGTATACCCAAAGACAACAAAAGATTTGCATCTACAACAAGAGCAAGATGTAGTTTAACAAAAGGCATTGAAAGAGTAAGAAAGTTGTTAGAAATTAAAGAGAGCAGAAATACAAAACTATATAGAAGAGCTGAAAGGAATGCTCCCAATGAAAGCAGAATTCTTGAAAAAAATCAGAAGATTGATCAAACTAGGAAGATGAACATATTAAACCATAAGAAATCCACAAAGAGAACAGAGAAAAATGGAATAAGAAAAAACGAGTCATGCACAAAAAAGCAAAAAGATTAGTATCAGTATCCCAGAGACAAAAGACAGATTCTAGGTAAAAGTGAAAAAGGTCACATTAAAAAAAAGTAAGGAACCACAGCACCCTCAGACCTCTGAATAATGCCTTCAAAATTCTGCATGTTTTATCTAAGCTAAATCCTTTCAGCCAGCCAAATTAACAATCAAATGTAGGTGTAGAATAAAGATATTGTAGGTTTCAAAAATATTTCCTTCCATGAACTACTGAAAGCTACTGAAAAACATACTCTACCGAAAGAGTAAAAACAAGGGGGAGGGTTAATCAGTAAGGAATACAAGTTAGAAGGAAGACAAGGAAAATTCCCAAAATTAAAAAATGCTGCATTCCACTGAGCACATAAACTGAAGTCTTCCCAAAAGATGTTTGTTTCTCAGGAAAAAAAATATTTCTTACCTTTCTTTGGTAGTAGTGCCATTTATTATTATTTTTTGTTTTATTTATCTTTTTTGGTGCTGCTGTTTGGGGTTTTTTGTTTGGTTTGGGGTTTTTTCTTTTTCTTTATAAAGATAAGGTCTCACTGTGCAGTCCACACTCGTTCTGAACTTACTATGTAGCCCAGGCTAGCCTCAAACTCATAATCTTCCTAACTCAACCTCCTAAGTGCTATTAAAGGCACATGCCTCCTCACCCAGCTCTTCTGTTTACAATCGTATTAGGTTGCTATGATTTCAAAATAGCTTCTTATAAATTACCTTTTCTGTAAACCTCATGTGTTTAAAAAACTAAGACGACACATAAAATTTACAAACCCTTACACTAAGAAAGAAGATTCAAATTCAAATCAGAGATGAAAATAGTCATCTGTAACTGACATCACAGAAATGCAAAGGATCGTTGGAGTATTATGATTAACTGTACACTGACAAATCTTATAATTTAAGAGAAATGGACAATTCCCTGTACATACATACACCTTACCAAGACTGAATCATGAAAAAATGGAAACCTCAAACTTAATTAATAATCAATGAGAAAATCAGTAATAAGAAATGTTCCATCAAAGAAAAACCTAGGGCCAGGCAGGTTTACTACTGAGCTCTACTAAAGAACTGACAATTAGTCTTTTTAAATTGTTTCCAAAAAATTGTACGAAGGGAAATCCTGTCAAACACATTCCTCAAGTCCAGCACTACTCTTACACCAAAACCAAACATGGACACAACAAAAAAGAAAACTGTAACTCATTGTCTTTGATGAACACAGATGCAAAAATGCTCAACAAATTAATAGCAAACCAAATTCAAAAAGAGCACTTTTTAAACAATTATTCACCATGATCCAAGGGGATTTGTCTCAAGAATGCACAATGGTTCAATCTACTCAAATCAATACATATAATACACATAACCACATCAACAGAGTGAAGAACAAAAATTATGCAGTCATCTCAATAGATGAAAAAATTAATGGTGAAGTTCATGAAAAAAACTGAACAAATTATGTACAGAAAGAACATATGTCAACATAATACAGGCCATTTATAATAATCCAACAGCTAACATTATATTGAACAAGGAAAAGCTGAAAGTTTTCTAAGATCTGGAACATGACAAAATGCCTACTTTCACCAGGTTTATTCAACACAGTACGAGAAGTCCTGGCCAGAGCAATCAGGCAAGATAAGAAATAAAGGAAATACAAATTAGAAAAGAAATCAAACTGTCACTGTATATGAAATAATCTTACAGAAAACTCCCAAGATTCCAATAAAAAACTATTAGAATACATGAATCCAGCAAAGTTGCAGGAAACAAAAATCAATATATGTAAGTCAGTAGTATTGCTATACATCAAGTGAAGTATCTCTAAGTGAAATCTAGAAAGCAATCCTATGTACAACAGCTACAAAAAATAATAATAATACACCTAGGGATAAACTTCACCAAAGAGGTAAAAGGATCTCTACAATAAAAGCTATAAAACATTGATGAAAGAAATTGGAGAGGACACAGAAATGTAAAAATATCCCATATTTCTAGAACAGAAGGATCAATACTGTTAAAATGTTCTTAGTATTCAAAGCAATCTATGGACTTGATTCAATCCTTATTAAAATGTCAATGTCATACTTAAAAGAACTAGAGAAAAATCCTAAAATTTTTATGGAACAGCAACAAAAGCTAAACAGCCAAAGCCATCTTGAGTAAACAGAATGAACCAGAAGGCTATAGAATCTGACCTCAATAGATACTAAGAAGCTGTAGAAAAAAAACAGCATGCTATATTACCAATAAAAATACACATAGAAACCAAGCAACAGAACAGCCTTGACATGAATTCAACCCTCACTAAGCCAGCTGAATTTTTACAAAGGTACCACGAACATATCAAGGCGAACATAATGACTTTTGCGCTAGGCATGGTGGTGTACGCCTATACTTCCAGCACTCAGGAGGCTGAGGCAGCAGGACTGCCACAATTTCGAGGCCACTGGATGCTACACAGTGAGTTCAAGGCCAAACTCAACTACCTAGTGAAAAAAGCCAACAAAGCAAAAAACAAACAAAAAACTTTTCAATAAACAGAACTGGAAAAACTGGGTATCCATAGACAAAATGAAATTCAACCCCTCTCACTACTTACAAAAATCAGTTCAAAATGGATTAAAGACTTAAATGTGAAACCTGAAACAATCAAAGCACTAAAACATAGGAAAATGCTTCAAGGCACTGGAATAGGCAAGGATTTTTTTGGAAGAAGCTTCAAAAGCACAGGAAAAAAGACCAAATAGATAAATAAGACCACCTCAAACTAAAAACACTTCTCAACAATAAAAGAAATAATCAACAGAGTAAAGGAACATACAGGATAGGAGAAAATATCTGCAAACTATTCATGTGACAAGGAGTTAATAGTCAGAATACATAGAGAACTCCAAAAACTCAATACTAAACAAACAGGCCGGGTGCAGTATCCCAGCATTCGCTGAGGCAGGAGGATCACTGTGCATTCCAGGCCAGTCTGGGCTAAATAGTGAGTTTAAGACCAGCCTGAATTACAGAGCAAGACTGTCTCAAAAAAGACAAAAAACAAAACTAAACAAACAAAAAAGTAACCTGATTTTAAAGTGGGTAACAGATCTAAATAGGATTTTTCAAAAGCAGACAGGCAAATGAACAACAGGTATATGAAAATATGTTCAACATGACTAAAATGCAAATCAAACCTACAATGAGATTATCACTGTACTCCAGTAAGAAAGGCTATCATCAAAAAGACAGAAAGGACAAGTGCTGGTGGGGATATGGAAAAAAGAGGAAACTTACACCTTACTATGGCTATTACGGAAAACACTATGGAGGTTTCTCAAAAAAAAATAGAGCTACCAGCCAAACATGGTGGCACATACTGAAAATCTCAGATACTTGGGAGGCTGAAGGAGGAAGATGACAAGCCCGGGCAAACTGAAAAGATCCTGTCTCAAAATAAGGGCTTGGGATGTAGCTCAGTGATACAGTGCCCAAATATCCCCTGTACCACCAAATGAAAGAATGAATGAAAAGGCTAGTAGAGCTCAGCCCCCATGGATTTAATCCCCAGTGCCACAAAGAAATAAAAAATAAAAATAAATAAAACTACCACATCACCCAGCAATTCCACTCCTAGGTACAGACTAAAAATAAATGGAATCAGTCATGTCAAAGAGACATCTGTGCCTCTATGTTCACTGTAGCACTATTCACAATGGCCACATCTTGGAAAAACCATCAAGTGCTGAACAGATAAAGAAAATGTGGCATATGTACACACCTAGTCAGCCACCTCAAAAGAATGGAATCCCATCATTTGTCACAACATGGAGGGAACCAGAGATCACTATGTTAAGTTAAATAAACCAGCTACAGAAAGGAGTACCAAATTACCTCACTCACGTGAAATCTAAAAAAGCTGATCTCATGGAAGAGAATGGTGGTTGATCAGAGGCTAGAAAGAATACAGAGAAGGGGAGGTAAGATGTCTAATGCATACTCAGCTGTAGTTAGATAGAAGGCAATGGTGGTGGCATGCTACTCCACAGAAGGTGACTACAGAGGGCAACTCTTGTATGTGCTGTATAGTTCAAAAAGCTAGAAGAAGGATTTGGATGTTTTTACCATAAAGAAGTAATAAATGCCTGAGGAGACAGATGTATGTAACAAGATCACACAGCATGTATCAAATATCACAGAACCCAACTAATATGTACAACTGTTATGTTTCCAGGTATCAGTTTAAAACAATTTAAGAAAGGAAGTTACAAGTCAGGGACTATTAGTCAATACTAATCCAACTACTAACACCATACATGCTGGAGTTTAGAAAAGTGATAGAGTAAAAAAAATCAGTATCTCTTCTAAAAATAAGTATAGTGCTTTATAATAAACATAAGCTAAAAAAAGAAATGTTTATCTAATATTATATACAGAATAATTATGAATACATCACAATAAACATTATAAGATTGGCTTCATTTTGCTTCATCTTTTCCTCTTAAGACTGGTATGAATGATACAGTATTTTCTCTACCATTCTCACTACTGTCGTATCTTCCTCCAACCTTAGAAAACTACAAGAAATCCTGGAAATGTAAGTAGTGATCATGAATGTCTTAATGAAAATCTAAATATAAACCAGAGCTCCCTAAAATCCAACTTAACCAAATACAGCCTGTTTTTTTTTTAAAAAAAGGAAGTCTGCAAAAAACTGATTCATTGCCTCCTTCCGCCACATTAAATTTTTAGTCAGGGATGATTTTTATAATGTATAGGCATGCCACGCAAGTAAATATTTCTTTCAAATATCACATTAGATCCAAATCAAATGTGGTTTTCTCTCTTCTGATATTTCCAAGTGAATCTCAGAAGACTACATATACAAGTTTATTCAGAATGGAGATCAAAATGTAGCCTCTGAATTTACAAAATTGAACACACTTACACAGCCTGAAAATTTTTAAAACACTACTAATGACACATCAGGCTCTTGGTGAGATTACACAAGAATTGTACACAGGATGGGAATCTAGTTCAGTGGCAGAGCACTTGCATAGCATACAAGAGGCCCTGTTTGACACACAGCACCACAAAAAAAAAAAATTATGGAGAAAGCAAAAAATTTACCTTATCTGCTTAGACTTCCTGTTTTCAACCTAACAGTACTTTAACTTGCCACTTACATGTTTATGTCATTATTATAGCCACTATGTCTAGGTTTTAAATAATTTTTAAACAGCATTCCTAAATAAATAACTAAACCTGAAATTGCAATGATAATTGCCCCAAATAAGGCTAACAGCTGTTCTAGGAGAAGCCAAGAAACCTAGTAACCTATTTTAAGAGGCAGTTTTTTAGTATAACACAATTACAGATACTTACCTCGACAATACTCCATTAAAATAAGCACTTCCCATATATTATCACTAATTGAATTAACAGCACAGTCTAAATAACCCACGATGTTTTTGTGACCAGACAGCTCTTTCTGTAAAAAAAAAAAACAAAATTTTTAAAACTGCAAAATATATATTTTAAACCTATATCACTAGCAATGGTTTGAAATCTAAATTAGTGTATTTAATTAATTTCTAGAAGAATTTGGTATGAGTATGGAATGTGACATATTCCAATCAGTCAAAGGCTTCAGTGGTTCCAATGCAAAGTTTAACTGCATATGAATGTCATTTTCTCATTTCTTACCATTTTTCTGTCAGTTCTCTTATCAAAAATGTTTTTAAATTCATATTTAAAATGAGAAAATGGTTCACTCAAGTTTCCCAAAGCAAACGTAGTTAAATGGTTCTCTGAGACTCAAAACTAAAATACTAGAATTCTTATTTATATTTATTTGTATCTTTTGAAGGGCTTTTTTTTTTTTTCATTTTGTTTTGGCATTGGTTTTTTGAGACAGTATCTCACGATGTAGTTCAAGCAGGCCTCAAACTTATGGCAACCCTCCTGTCTCCCCAGTGCTGGTTATGTGTACCTTAAAAGGAATTTAGCACTAATGTTAATGAAGTAACAATTCTACTCTTATTGTTTTTCCTGTAATATACTGCAATGTATATGCAGCTATTTCGTGGATTTATGGAACGTGTACTTTTTACCTAACTAGTGCTAAAAAAGACTGATAAAAGAAAACCACATACAACGTCAATAATATGAGTGCAAGGAAATAAAGTAGCAAATCTGAAACTTTGTTTCTAGTACAAGGTAATCATAAGCAAATTTGTTTCTAGTACAGGACTGGAGGTTACAAATAGGGCTAGGCTGGGCTCAGTGGTGCACACCTGGAACCCCACATAACTCAGGACGCTGAGGCAAGAGGATCATAAATTTGAAGCCAACCTAGGCAACTTAGAAAGACTGTCTCAAAACACAAAATAAAAGGACTGGGATGTAACTCGGTGGTAGCGTGCTTGCCTAGTATTCTCGAGGTCCTGAGTTCAATTCCCCAGCACAGCACAGCAAACCATGGAAGAAAAAAACGTAACCAGATCTACTAGGAAACTGCATACTATTTTTAATGAACCTACAACCACTATCATTAATAAACCTAAATGTAACTGTGCTATGCAATTTGAGATAAAGGGTAATGATCACTGAATATGTGAGGAGTTTATAAATAAGTAACACATAGTGGGAGATGGGCCATCAAAAATAGTTGGAAGACTACCACTCTAAAGAGCTAATCTCTTCCTAAAATATCCTGTTAAAAAGTATAGAATTTGGGTGCTACTGCTACTATATTTTAAACAAAATTACACAAATTCTACTGAAAGGAAGAATTATGGTACAATATACAGTATCTAAGATCCAGTTAAAGCACTTAGATCTAAGCTTCACCATTATGTTGGGGAAAATCTTTTTCATCATTCTGGCTAATATATTACCTTCAAAAAGCCCAAAAGCCCAGTCACCTCTAACCTAGTTAGTAACAGGGATAATAAAAGCCAAATTCAGAAAAGTCACATTGTTTAAAGGTACTTATCTTCCGTCAAAATGTATGATGCTAAAGAAGCTAATACAAAGTAAAAAATTCCTGTTAGCAGTTGGATAAGTAGGTCTGCCATTAACAAAAAGTAGTGGCAAACATGAGGAAAATACATTATTGGCAATAAAATAAAACATTCCAGTTACTATGAAAAAGTCGGGTAGTTCCTCAAGAAGTTCAACATAGAATTACCACATGATCTAAGAATTACATTCCTAAGTACATACCCGAAGAACTAAACTAGGTACTCAAACAAATGCAGGTACACACATTCACAGTAGCATTCACAATTGCCAAAACAGAAACGGCCCAAATGTCGACCACACAGCTAATAACTGAGAATAAATACCTACAATGAAATATTATTTAGGAGCCGGGGATATAGCTCAGTAGCACAGCGCCTGCCTCGCAAGGGCGAAGTCCTGAGTTTGATTCCCAGTACCAAAATGATATATATACAGTGTGTGTGTGTGTATGTACATATATATAGTTATTCAGACACAAAAAGGTACTGCATACTGATGTACACTACAGTGCAGCTTAATCTCAAAAACATCATGCTACATGAAATCACAGGTCATATATTGTACAACTTCATTTATAAGAAAAGGTTTTGAAACTAGACAGAGGTGGTGGTTATGAAGCACTATGAATATACTATCGAATTGTTCATATTAAAAGTTAGTTTTATATTATATGAATTTCACCTCAATAAGACAAAAACTGTGTGTGTGTGCGTGTGTGTAGGATATAAAAGTAAATGACCCACGGTAGAAAATGAAGAAAAGTAAGAACAAGTCATCCAAAGGAATAAAAACTAACAACACTAGGAGAGATGAAAATTTTTATTTTGTAATTTATTTTTAACTGTTTCATTAACTCACTGGTGTTTAATGACCTAATATAATATTTTACTTTCCCTAACATTTAAATTTTCCCTTGCAGAAAAACATGTCATAAATTGCAGAGCTTATAAGAAAAACCTTACAGTATGATTTTTTAAATGAAGAATAAAGTAATTGTTGTTTGTGAATCTGAATACATACTGTAAATGCATAAAATACACACAGGAATAGTAACCACCAAATTCAGGAAGGTGGTTTCCTTCTGGATGAAAAAACAGTGCACGGCAACAGTTGGGGAGGAATACAGAGAAGGCTTCAACAATACCTGTAAGGTTTTCTTTCTTAAGCTGGATGATGGGTAAACTTGTTATTTATTATATAATTGTTTTTTCTACACTTAAAATAATTCAGTAATTAAAATGAATTTAAGAAAAAAGAGCCTGGCATGGTAGCACATGCCCACAATCCCAGCATTTTCGGAGGCTCGGCAGGAGAAACACAATTTAACAATGTAGTGAGATCCTGTGCCAAAATAAAAAAGGATGAGGGTATACCATGTGCAAAGGCCTCTTGGATCAACCTCCAACACCACCACCAAAAATAAAGGGTGGGAACTTACCTGCTGCCTATTGAACCTACAACAGGGAAAGGGAAGAAGAGGAAAACAAGGCAGCTGCACTTCATCATAAGTAAGGCTGTAAGAAATGAAGAACGTATTTCCAGACAATTTTTCAATGTAACAAACTTCAAAGGTTTTCTAAATGTGTATAAGCCAATACTCAATTTGCCTAAAAATACTACTCTTCACTTACCATAATTGTAATCTCCCTTTTGCAAACGTTGAGGTCTGACATGTTATTGACATACATTCGCTTCAGTGCACATCGGATTCCACCATGAGTTCGCACTAGGAAAACTGTGGAGAATCCACCTAGAACAAGTACAAATTAATTTTTAAAAAATCAAACTATTGTCAAAATCGTGTAATACCATTTTGGAACTTAGTATCAGAGGAAAATAAATAATACTGTACTCAAACAAAAATACAGAAAGCAGCTAATCAACTGAAAGCCAAACACTGGTTTCCCGTCAATCTCTAAGTAGCACTCACAGGATAATATACTTCTTAAATGAGCATACTTTCCTGTACAGGCCAATATACTACAAGTTCACTTTTAGGAATTACTTGTTATGCAGTATACAGAAAATATCACTACACTGCCTACCCTTCCCACTCATCCCTTTTTGTGATGACAAAACACTGTATTTAATATGAGACATCACTGAGCACTGATGGCTGGAACTCTCCCTCAGATCCAGGAGATGAGTCAATACTGTTGTGAGCCAATCTTGGGAATCTCATTTCCCCATATCATTAACTGATTTACAACCTACTGAATTCATAACCAGTTCTGGCTAATGCGACATAAGGTAAAGTCTCCTGGAATTGCTGGTAAAGATTTTCCAACCAGATAAAAGGACGTAACAACTAAGACCCTCTCTTCCTTCTTGCTTCTGGATTTTATTGTGTAAGAATTTATGATGCTTAGACATACTGCAGCCAACCTATGGATATGCTGAGCAACCCAGAACACTGACAGTTGAGCTAATGAATAGGCAACCTTCCTCCAGAATTGAAGTGAGATGCAAATAAGCCCATTATTTGGACATTCTGTTAACTGCGCCTGAGAAAGCATCATACCAAAAGTATCACAGCTAGATAGGTACTGAAAAGAACAATTATTTCTGTCGCATCTAAAAAAGAAAGATTTCTACCTAAGTTTCCCAAACTCATCTTGGCAGAGAATATACTTTAGCTATTCTTCCTTTTTTTTGATTTTTTTTTTTTTTTTTTTTCAGACAGGGTCTCGACATGCAGTTCAGGTTGGCCTTGAAATCACTATGTAAGCTCAGGCTGACCTCAAACGTGCAGTGATCCTCCTGCCTCAGCCTCTGCCAGTGCAAGGAATACAGGTGTGTACCACCACATCCAGCTTATTTTTAAAAGGGTGTATATTGTGCTTGCTTCAGCAGCATATTTACTAACTTGGTTATAATTTTAATTAATTTATAGTCTTCATAAAGCAGCATCCTGAGCATTAAATCATCTGAACTGTAGTTCAATAAAAAGCAAAAGAAAACTATTAAAGACTTTTAAAAAAGGAAAAATAGCTCCTAGGATTCTCCAGAATCACAACATATTCATTCCAGATTTTCCATATCCTACAATTACAGCCAAAAGAAAATGCAAATTCCTATCTATAGAATAACAAAAGAAAAAAATCCTAGCTGTTATAGTAAGCAAGACTATTCCAAAATCATTGTCTTAAAGAAGTGATCAACAGAAGAACTAGAATAGGTTTTGGTCCTGTTCACTAACAGTAAATACCATGGCATAAGAGATTTTGAAGCAAGAAGTACTGCTGGATGTATAGTAGTTTCTTCTTATCCACAGTTTCACTTCCCATGTTTTCAATCGCCTTTGGGAAACTGTGGTCCCAAATATCAAACAGAAAATTCCATACAGTTCATAAGCTTTATATCACACATCATTCTATAAAGAGTGATGAATCTCATGCTGCCCTCCTCCACCCACGCACAGGATGTGCATCATCCCTTTTTCCAGCATACTCACACTGCTACTCAGTTAACCAGCCAACTCCATTAGTAGAACAACTGCAGAGATAGCCAATATTTGTGTAAAATCAGCCCTTATTTTATTACTTAATAATGGCTCCAGAGAGAAAGGGTAGATACAAGGAAGCCCCAGGGCATAAATACAGAAGAGCAGATAAACTCTGCTACTAGGGCACAAAGGGAAAACACACACACAGCTTAGTACTGTTCTCAGTTTTAGGTACTCACTAAGGGTCTTAGAGCATATTCCCATGTATAAGTCAGGGTTAATGTAAATGGAAGACAGAGTAATGCCTAGTAAGTAGGTAAACAGTATTACTTGGCGAATAAATTGACCAATGAAAGGAGTCTGCGGGGCTGGGGATTTAGCTCAGCGGCAAAGCGCCTGCCTGGCAAGCACAAGGTCGTGAGTTCGGTTCCCGGTACCGGAGAAAAACCAAAAAAAAAAAGAAAGGAGTCTGCTTTTTTTCCCTGAAAATCAAGCATGGAAAGGGAGGAGGAAGGTATTTGAAGTAAATCAGTGAATTAAATACTAACTCCCATCATTACTAATTATGTGACCACAGGCATATAAACTTCTGAGCCCTGATTTCCTCATACATTCAGCATAGATAAGAAGATCTCTTAATAGGACTGTTATAAAGAATAAATGTAGTTGTGTGTGTACCAGCCCATTTCATAAAGGGGAGCTATTGCAATTTTTACTACTATTATTGTGGTGTTATTACTAATACTGCTTCATCTTCAAAGACCAGATTTAGAATACAAATTCTAAAGACTACAAAGAATAGAAATAAACACATGGGCTTGATAAACAAGATAATATAAACACAGCAATATTTAAGGAGACTATTTTTACTGCTTAAATATGCCCAATCATTTAAGAAATATCCACCTGGGCTGGGATGTATGTAGCTCAGCAGCACAGTACCTGCCTGGCAAGTGTGAAGCCCTGAGTGTAATTTCTGGTACCAAAAAGAAAATAGAGAAAAAAAAAGTTATAAGAAATAGCCACCTAACTGGATACTTCAAACCCAAAATCCACTTTATAAAATAATAGTTCATTTTAAAGATTTGGATATTCAAGGTTATTTTAACATGAAGGTTAAAATAATAGGTTTTTTGTTTAACATACTTCACTTGTATGATCTCTTTTAAGTCTGTATTTAAAAGAGTAACTTTCACTAGAACTATTATAAACTGCTAAATTAGGTAGAAATATTATAGGCAGTCAGAGAGGGCTGGGCCAGAGATGGAGGGAGATCAGTTGGAGGCCAAGCCTCAAGGTAACAAAAAAAAGGCCAGGCCTACATACTCCACAAGGGATGAAATAAGTGGTAACACCCGCTCTAAAAAACTCTACATAGGCATCAATCACCTCAGTAGGCAAGCAAGACACCCCCAGATCCATCAGCTACCTGAGAAGTTCTTTGTTCTTTCCATGCACACTCGCTACACCTGTGACTTGCTTCCCCACTGGATCAATATTACCTAAGTGGCTATACTTATACTCTTACTGGTTGATCATAGCTGTAACCTAAGTTGTACCCACATGGTTGTGCTCTATAAAACTTCTCCTGAGAAAAGGAGTCCTCGGGCAAACCACTTTCTGGGTGTCCCCTTCTGTTCCTCTCAGGCAAGAGCTTTCTATGTCTCAATAAAGTATTTCCAACTCTTGGGGCTGGGGATTTAGCTCAGCAGCAAAAGCGCCTGCCTGGCAAGCCCAAGGTCGTGAGTTTGGTTCCCGGTACCGGAAAAAAAAAAAAGTATTTCCTACTCTTAATCTCCACTGTGCCTAGAATTAATCCTTCAATTTTAGAGAACACAAACTCAGCATATCAGACATCTAACAGGTTGGGAGTTGTATTTTCCTTCTATCCTATTTGGAGGTTCTGGTATCATTTTCTACATCAGAATCATTCAAAATAATGTCTAAATGAATACCTCCACTGAACAGTTTAGGCAATAAAAGCCTAATAGCATGTTATGTTTAAAATCTATTACTGTGACTCTATTATCACAATATAAGAAAAACAAATGGCACACACCTCTAATCCTAGCTCCTTAGAAGGCTGAAGAGGAGGATCGCAAGTTTGAGCCCAGCCTGGGCAACTTAATGAGAACTTGTCTCAAAATATAATAAAAAAACTGGGGATGAAGCTCAGAGGTAGGCCACCTACCTTGCACACACAAGCCCTAGTTCAATTGCCAGTACCAGAAAATAAAACAAAACAAAAAATAGAGATCTGACCTTTTGTCTATAGTCCCTGACACAGATTTTCAAAAAAAAAACTGGAATTCGAAACTGAGACATGTCAGTTTTATCCTATGAATTGATTCACCAGAGCCCAACAAAGATTCAGAATGACGGCTGTTCACCAGAAAAACTGACTAGATGCATAGAATTTTCAGGCCAATCCCTGGGACCTCTGGGCATGGGAGAGGAAGTACAGACTGAGATCAATCACATGGTCAATAATTTAAGCAACATGTAGGGAAGCCTCAATAAAAATTACCAAGTATGGAAGTTCGGAGAGCTTCCTGATTGGTAAACATATTGATAGGCTAGGTGAGTGGTATACCTTGACTCCACTGGAACAGAAGCTAGTGTACTTTGGAACCTTCAAAATCTTGTGCCTTTTATAATAAGAAGATAAGTGCAGTACCTTTCTACGTTTGGTTAAGTCATTACAACAAATTATCAAACCTAAAAGAGGGTAAAAGTTTGTAGTTAGACTACGGGTGCCTGCGACATGCTTCTGGGCTGACACAGAAGCAGCCCTGTGTGTCTGAGACAACTGGTCCGTGGGGTCTGTAGTAACTGTGGGTGATCAGTATCAGAACTGGATGGAACTTCTGGCACCCAACTGGTGTCAAAAAATCATTGTTGGAATACATCTTACATATCTAGAAATATAGTTATGGGTTAATTTTATTTCTCATTAAAATATATGCCATCAAAAAACAATTAAGAACCTTTACATCAATTTAAATCTAGTATCTTTAGATATTAAAAGTCAATTACATCAATGCACTGCATAATCTGATTAAATTCTAGTATAAAAAAAAGTGTTTCTGGTGAACTATCTGGAAGTAAGTTAACAATGTGTCACTTTACTCATTAATAACAGGTACCAAATACAAACATCTTAAACATGTATATATTATCCTATATAACTATAGTATCTCTGTACCCTCTAAGAAAATGAACAAGTCTTCTAATGCATTCATTCAAAATTACACACACATTGCAAATATGTATAGAGGAAATAAGGCAAAATGTTATTTTGTGTA